TTTCTTAAATCATACTTCTTTTCTCACATCATATATCATCCTATGCAGAATCTTACCAAAGATTGTTTTTCTCCCCTATTGATCTGGACAAACCTTTCCAGAAATGAAAGGGATAGGGCAGTAAAGATAAAAACTGGTTTTCAGTTCAAAGAAGAGAGTTTTTTACACGATCGATTTTATAGGAAAGGCTAATGATTTCTCAAATTTCTTCCCCATGGTCTGTTTGCCTGAAATGCTTCTACTCATTGAGTACAAGGCATTTGCCAGTATATATACGAAAGAAAAGAATTAGAACCTCTTTGCATTTAGTCAATAACGTGAAATATTAGTGTGGGATTTAGATTCATTTTTCCTGTGAAGACAAAGAAAACATATGTGGTTCAATGATAACGTTAGATTCTAAACTAAACAAGACATAAATGTGAAGAAACACAAAAGATATTAATGATTTCCAATAACATATAAGAAAAAAATGAATGCAAACACTTGGGAGAAAGGAGAAAGTCTTTCCTTGATTTCTTTCTCCTGTATTCAAGGATATTCTCTAAGGGTCTCTATGGAACAAAGGGCTTCCTTTCTTTGCAGAAATTCTACACAACTCTTAACACCTTCAGAAAAAGCTTCTCTCAGCTTGTTGTTTCCCATGATCAGGATGTAGAATGACTTGATGGGAAAATGACAGTTACTATGCCACCAATTATCACCGCTAGTTTTCCCTGAGGAATCAGAAAGCTAGAGGTTATTACCAGAAAGACTGCATGGTACACAATGAGGAGGAGCAGAAAGATGATCACTGCCTTCATGGCCCTTGTGGGCTTCTCTGCTGGGGTCTCTGCACTCTGTGGCACGAAGTTTCATCTGCTTAGTGTGTCTAAATAGGAAGAAAAGCAACAAGAAAAATGAGATCAGGCAAAGAATAAAGGGAACAATACCTCCCAGGTTCAGAGGCATCTATTTGAAAGTATTTGGGATTTTACTCACTTTGAATTGCCAAGTAATGTTTTCTTCATGGCTGGCCTTGAAGAAGTGATGCCACATATCATTATTCATTGAAATGCTAACAATTAAGGAGTTGAGAAAAGACCTCAGAAGGATCCCAAAGATGACTCTGGTGATTTTTAGCTTCAACTGGAAGAAAAATGGATGGACTATATTAGCTATATTGAGTAAGTAGAAGATGCTGAGGCAAGATGTAAAACAGACACTTAAATTATTGGCAAGTGTCCAGACAACATCCAAAATGCTTGCTTGGTCACCATTGTCATGTGTACCTGGAGAGAGCAGCATGACGAAGTCATTGAATGATATTACACATCATAAGCAAATTCTGCAGATGACCTAGCTGGTCAGGATGATGCCAGTCAAGGAGACATCTCTTCTCTTGAGTCAGCCAATGCAGTTAACTAGTGCAATGAATCCATTTCCCCAAATCCCTATAGTCAATTCACCAACAACCAAAATCATATGTACCGCCTGTATTGAACTTGGCATGTCAGCGGAGAGTTCTGATTTTGACTATCACTGATGATGAAGTGGCTTTCAGCTGACCAGGGAAGAAAGGTATATCTGTGTGCCACCCCCCTTAGGCCATGCTGCAATTGCCTTTATCCCACCTTTCTGTCAGGTGTGATCCAGGTCAAGAAGACAGCTTGTCCTGCTCTGGGCGAGAACTGCCTAAAGACTACATGGATTGAGGCGAGTAATTTCCTTTTTGTGTAGTGACAACTGAAAGGCTCAAAGATGCAAATAGGAATGGATCTGATTTCTTGGATTTGCACAATATTTCTCATTTTAAGCTCTGTATATTTCATATCCATCAATCTGAGCTGTTGACCAGGAACTTCAAGAAGGAATCAATTACTTGGAAAATATGGCTAAAATTTAATTTGGAGATGGATCCTGGTAAGTAGATTGATATATTTATAGTTGGTCCCTATCACAGATTCTAGGTTTAATGTGTTAGCTTTTGTAGCTAGTTTACTTGCTCGGTTGACTAAATCTTTAAATAAATTCTTATTTACAGCTAATTGCTGGAACTCTAGAATGCAGAGGAAAGAGTCTAAAGGTGTAGGATGATAAAAATATTAAGTTGAATTTACCATATGTGACCTTCACCCTTTCCCCATTATGACCCTCAGGTCATAACCGGAGGGAGCCTGAAAGACACTGCATTTACTAGGGCATCAAGAAATACCTCATTAAGGGAATTACCAGTATCCTTGAAAAGCTTTGCAGTGTCTGTCTTCTCAGCACAAGGTACGATGATGGTAGATGCTTGAGGAGGGTGTCCCAATTTCAGTGGGGATGATGGGATCCTGCAGTGTCAGTGCCTAACCAGTGGGGACAAGATGGACACAAATACTATATTCAACAGCAAGAACTAAGTGGTGACTAGCACACTTGGGCCCTCAGATATCTTTGGTAATAGCAAATAGGTTATGGTCTTTAGAATGAAAGAGATGGGCAGGCTACTAAAATCCTACTTATCTTTACAACAGCAGACATTCTGCATCTGGTGACGAGAAAACTGACTTGAGTTGCCACAAAGGAAAAACATAGATTTTACCTGGTTTCCAATTCCAAGTCACTTTACAAATTCAAAGCCCTTTGACTGAAAAGAGGCCAGATCCTCTTGAGGAAAGGCCCTGCAGCACTGCCACAGGCATTAATATATTCTATGGATGGTCTTCCGAGACATCCCCTCTGCCATTTACCAGGGTGACTCTAAAAAATACCCAGACTGTAATGAATTAGTGGACATTAACTTTGAATTCACACTAATTCTTGAGGACCCCAAACACCACTATGGTTAACCAATAAAAATTTTGATCAGGTATTAAAGGACCTAGGTTTCATGGGCCCACTCCATGGTTATTTTTACATTTCCTGAATGTATAATTGGAATAGACATGCCTGAAAACTAGAAAAATCCCCACATTGGTTCTTATAACCATGAA